CTCTTAGATGGGAACCGTAGGTGACCCTTCGATCTACGTGAGGACTGTCCGTCGCCGGCCAGCCTTCTGCGAGACCAGACGGTGAAACCTGATGTAGCTGCTGGGGGAGAACCAATGCGATCGGACGCTAGGAAGCTCCCACCCGTGTCCTCCCTACAGGTGCCAAAAACACAAAATGGGGAAATGTTCGTAGCGTTCGAGTGCGTAGTGTCACAGCACATGATGTTTGAGCACGTAGTGTCCGAAAACGCAACGTTCGATTGTCGTTGAACGTCCGCGTGTCGGGGATATGAAAAAGAAGCGGAAACGCGGAGTGTCAAACAGGTGCGAGCGACAGAGCTAACAAAAGGCGATAGCACTTACCCAGTGCGATAAGCGAATAAAGCGAGAACCTTATGTATGGAAGGATTTTGGTGAGTATTTTTGTTCGTCGCAATCAGCCGACAATTCAGATATGTCGACCAGCTATCCGGAAAAACATCAGACGGCCGTTTCGCTCTATTGGGGCTCATCAGTGGTGCGCATCCTTCGGTCCTCTGAGGAGGATCGAACCCATGACTGCTAGTGGCTTCTTCCAACTAGCCCGCAGCTTATGTAACTGCGCCATGGAGGACGGTATCTGACTATCATGAATTGTTAGCTAAATGCGATATAGCCCGACGCATCCTCCAGTGCCATGCAGGCACCTGCCATGCAGATGACAGCGGTCAGCCTTCCGGCGTCAGGACTTCCCGGTTACGTCAGCTATGAATCGACATAGCATTTTGTGGAATCCGTACGGGAGAATTGGTATTACTTATGTATGGAAGGATTTTGGTGAGTATTTTCAAAACGATTTTCTCCTTTTTTAGGTTTTCAAAACGTTTTTGCAATTTTTGGGGTTTTCAAAACTGCCGTTTTGTTGGGCGGGTTAGGCCACAAGCAAAATGGAAGCGGGAAAGGAAGAATGAAAAGAAGACTAATCTTTTAATCGCGCTGGCCAATGAACCCGCCTACCTGACCTAGTCGATTTCGGACGTTCGGTCGGAGGCGATGTCGATCCAGCAGTTTTGTCGGATGAGGAAGCTTTCGGCTTGATAGAATCGAAAGGAACTGAGTCGGAAGGGTTAGTCAGAGAATGCTTCGTAGCATCGGAAGTAGGCGTGTCGTCGATCATAGGCTGTGTTGACTCGTCCGAAGGTGGACGGGAGTCATCGTCGATCTCAGGTTCCACATGGGCAACCTTGAGACGGTCGATAGAGAC